TTAAACAATTTTTTATTATAGTTTTTGCTAGTTTCTTGCGCAAAACTTGCAATACAACAATTAAATGATTTTAACACCAATAAAAAGAGTGGTAGATCTTCCAGAAAATTCTTTACTGGTTTAAACTATTACAAGCATCACGAGGAACAGAAGAACTTACAATAATCAAAAATTTGTCGCAACTAAAGATGCCCATTTAGCTGATTAATTTCGATTCATGGTCAAGTTTTGCTGGTCACATTTTTCACAACAGCTTCGCACCACTTGCGATACAAAACAAGAAAGTCGGAAAAAAATTGAAAATATCGAAATAAACTAGATGTATCAGATTGAAAAGGGCTAGTATTTAAAAAAGACGCTAAGACAATAAAATGCGAAATCAGCATCGAAAGGAAAATAACCAGGCGGTAACAAAACCGAAAACACCTTCGCACAAACAATTTAAACCAACAAAAAAAATCAACAAGATTTGAGACTTTTAAAACCTTTATTATGTCCCATAACCCTCAAGCCACACATACGCAGATACATTTTTTTGCTCGTCAAAAGAGGCGATAAGAGGCCATTCAGCCAATTAAATATAGGTCGATACCAATGAATCGCAAAAAAAGGAAAAAACCGAAAATTTAATATGAAAAACTATATTTTCTGATAAAATTTTTAGTATTTCGTGCGATCCAGAGTAAAAAAAAATATATTTCCCTTGAAACAACTCAAAATTGATTCACTTAGCCGAGAAAAAAAAAAGCCGAAATCATTTGGGCAGAATAAATTTTGTGAGTAAAGAAAATGTACGAAGTCAAGGCTAGTGAAATTACAAATAGCAGAAAATAACCGAAACCCAAAAAGTAACTACAATGCAACCTGTACACAGTTTAAAAAAACAATTCTATGATGTGGCAACTAGGCCGACAAAACATTAGCAGACAAATCATGACGGAACAATTTTTTGAAACGGAATATTTTCCGTTTGAAAAAAATCAGGTCCTGTCCTGTCAGTTTCGAACCCAGGATCTTTGCCGTCCCAGGCATATTCGTTACCTCCAGACCAAGCGTGCCGTAAACGCAAAGAAATTCAAACCTATATTACCATTTCTAATTTTGACTATTCAGTGATAAAATTTATTTACGGGAAAAATTGCCTTGTACCCAATTGCATGTAATATACCGTCAATGGCTATAAACGCTTGATCGATAAGTGTTACTTTTGTAGTCTAGAGTGATGAAGTATGTTGTTATGGATGTGCGGTCTAGGCTTAATATCTTCGACTCAGGGATGTGCTTCGTGATGGCTACCCCCTTTCTCTAGAGTCTAAGCTGATCGATTAATAAAAGTGAGTATTAATGTTTCAATTACTATTTTGAGCTCCTCGATTGTAATGGCTCTCCAATTATTCTCATTCTTTCATTCTCCTGATTGTTTGCATTAAGTAAAAATAGATTTAATACTTTATCATTGACGTAACATGGCATTGACATTTTAATCTAAATCGCACCAATTATGGTAATTAATGATTAGCAGCTAACATAGGTGTGAAGCACTATGTTACACTTATATACTTGTTGATTCTTCCCTGGCGGCTTGTGGAAGAACTTATGATTAAGTAGTTACATCACTACTTTTAATTGGGCAGGTTTAACAATTTACTGCATTGAAAATTTAACAATTTACTGCATTGAAAATTGCATAAGTTTTTAGAGGTGATAGCACCAGTACAATTTAAACTAATTGTTATTCAAATAGATAAACGACATTCGTAACTCATATAGTTGCAGAATTTGGCAAATAAAGTTGAATGGTTCAAAGTGGAGCTCAAATATACGCAAAAGGTTGTCCCTGAATTTATGATACAATTTTTTCTCTCTTTTTAGGGAGAAGCAAGGTTAATAACTTATAAAAGCCACTTCGTCAGTTAGAATGAAAATGATGGTGTATTAAATGAGGTACAATTTTAACTGCTCAAATTTGGGTTTTGCTCTCCTCTCTATCTCCGTTAACATCAATAGTGTAGTCCGGTCTTCTGCCTGATAGTCCCACAGACAAACAGGTTGAGGTCCTTCGCGAATATGTTTTCGGTACTTGTCCGTTGATTTCGTCTTGAGTAAGTACCATAAATTTCTCTCGGATCTTAGAACCCTGTTCTACAAACTCTTGTCTATTAGCTGCAGATACTGACAGGACAGGTTTCAATTCGATTCTTCCATCGGCTGATTTCATAAATTTTGGTGTTAATCGTCTGAAGATCGCGAAGCGGTGATATAGATACATTACCAGTGCATGCAGCAGTAAATTTCCGAAGAACACAACTATAGATACCAGTCACCTCTGCAGCACCACTGAGGAGCATACTGAAGCCCGGCGGAGAAGGAAATGAATAGAGCTCGAGATATCAAAAAACATCTCAACCTCCCACGTATTAACATACGTATAAAAAAGTTCCGAGCACCCCGACAACTGAGTGATCGGATCGAAAAATTTTGATACCAGTAACCTCTGTAGCACCAAAAAGGAGCATACTGAAGCCCGGCCGAGGAGGAAATGAAAAGAACACGCGATATCTAAATTCGATAAATTAATAAAAAAAATTATTCAAAATTAATACAATTATAAAGGAAAATCAATACAAAATACTTCAGCAAATTCAGAGCCTCATCTTTCTAAATCCTTGCATTTTGCCCCACGCTCACAAAAGCGCTGCCTTCTCTCTCCAAAAGACAGAAGACGCGCCACACACTGCCATATCTGGTCGTACCTATCACTAGGTACCCTCAGCCCAATGGAGAGGAGCGACGAACAACAGGACACATTGCCCGCGTGACCACACAGTGAACCCAACTGTATGAGAGGTACACGGTGTCCCCGACCTCCTGTGTACAGCAGGCCATCGACGACCCATGCTCAACCAAGCATCTCATCATCGAGTCGGGCGTCACAAACTCGTCTGCCAGCTTTTGTGCAAATTTGCCAGGCCTCACAAAGAACCAGATCTTCTCACCTGATCCATACAGGGTCGCCAGGCTATCAAGTGACTCGTCAATGTCGCTATGAAAGCGAATGAAGTTCTCGCCCTCTGTCACAATCAGGTACCCGTATGCGGGGTCCGACACCTGTGCACCTTTAGGGGTCCAATAATTTACAAATTTTGGAACTTTGTGACGATCCTTAGGCAGCAGTCCCAGATTATACTTAGCACCAAGAGGACCAGTGCGCAACTCCGACTGCTCGAAGCTCTTCGTCATTCGACTGGCATAACGAGCCGATCTACCAAACGCTGAAAAATAAAGCAACAACGCCAACATTGATGAACAATGCACCAAATCAAAACACACATGAAGCTCGAACATTTACACTTACCCTCTTCTCCTTGTCCTTGTATTCGACCGCAACAAATTGTCGAATTAGAGCAGGGACCTCACGATCCAAGCCGTCCAAGGAGTTCAACATGGCAATTTCAGGAAGCCCCTTTGCATATTCTCCTATAGAATGCATGTCAACCTGCCCCTCAGAACCAACATCTGGATTAGACCGAGTTTTCCGCTTCGAGCGACCATCCAAAGGGAAAAGCTCGTTATTTCGCTTCAAAGAAAACTGAAAATATGCCATAATATCTTCGAGCACAATGAAGGGGTTGGAATCGAACGCTCAGCGGTTTACCCTACTTAAAATCTAAATCGCACCAATTATGGTAATTAATGATTAGCACCTAACATAGGTGCGAAGCACTATGTTACATTGCAATACCCTTGATTGTCGCTAGGGTAATCAGCTATCAAATCTCCCTAATTTATACGTCTCGTTTTGACCGTAACTATTCTCTGTTCCATAGTTTTCTTTCTTTTGTGGAGAAAATTCTTGAAAAAATTACGGAAAATGAGTAAACAATAACAAGTAAACAAATGATTCAACGTTTTTATTGGATGTGAACTTCCGCGACTGTACGATTATTACCACAGACCTTTTGACTGTGAAAGTTCTTACATTACTATGTAGACAACAATTCTAGGTCATGATTATAAAATAACAATTCTCATGAGCGTAATATCTGGTTTTTGCTTATCACCTTGTAAATAAACTTAACTGGTTCTCTTTTACAGACGCTCATCATCTGCAGAATAGAGGAACACTTTTATTTTCTCAAGTCTCTCAGTGCCAAACTATTGAAGGAAAAAATACTGAAAATTTGATGAAGCTTAATTGAATGATACTAATAATACCAGTATATGTAAAAAATAAACTAACAACAATGGAAATCATGAACTAAAAGAGTAATTGGGAGTAAGTGACTATATATATAGGTGATAATTTTTAAACTACAACAAGGCTCTTTTCCCGCTCACCTCCTAAATTTCAGGTCCTTTTTTCTTTGGCCAGGGTAATATTTTCCTACTCAGAACAATCAGCAGAGATGATGTCAATTTTTTTTCATTGAAAGTTAGGGATATATTATCTAGTATTCATACGCAGCTTTAAATAACATCAATACTGCAGTGCTTTCATGGTGGCAGTACTTAAATCATGATGAAATTCGAAAATTCGAAAGGGGTTTGGAACTTTTTGTACTTTGAAGGCATTTGTGGAAGGGGGCAGTTCAAATTATCAGAAGGCGCAGACCACAATTCAGATCATGTTTAAAATTGGGTACAAAATGTCTGGAACATTAAAACGAATCAGAAAATTTGATGTTTTATTAACTCAATGAAGAGAGCATACTTTTCCTTCATACAAAGTTACCGGATGAGGGATCGATATTCTAGCAGCGGGCATAAGAAAAAGTCGACTTCCGTTGTGGTTCCCGGATATTGATAAAAGCAGAGCAGGCGAGCCTAATTGACCTGGTTAGAGGCGAGGTTAACTTAATCCTTAAACAGAACCCGATCAATATCTTTTTAGAAACAGAATCCGAACAATATCTTTTAGCATCCGTTCTAGCATTTTTAAGATTTGATGAAAAATTTAAAAACCAGAAGAAAAAAATCACCTGGTGGTTCAATACCCAAAATGGAGACTTCTGTTCAGCACCCAACCCAATTTTATGAAAATTTAAAACAATGCAATTTTGGACACTTGAAAAGTAGGATGCGCGGAAAAGATGCCTTAGAATGGCCTTCTTTTTATTATTATACTGCACTGCAGACCATTTGAGATAAGTTTTCATACAGTGGAGTCTGGTTCGTCCCGTCCATTCCATTTCTGCAACTTCCCGACGTCTTCTTCCTTCGTCTGCACATACACTTGATTGTTTTCAGCCACTCTGAGGCCATAACTCCAACCGGTGGAATCATGAACAGACACGCTAGAGGCGTGATCAAAGACTGACAGAAGGTGAAAAATGTCGCCAATATGAACCCATTGTCAGAAATGGGCTCCGAACTTACAACTGATGTAAAATTTATAACTATATACGGACACCACAGAAGGGTCACACAGCAAGTTAGAAAATATGTCGTCTTCGTAAATTTCTCTCCCACTTCGTAACTGTCCATAGTTTCTCGTTGCAACGCTGGATCTCTATACGGCATACTTAACCCTCCGTTTCTCCCCATTACAGCTCTTTGGCTCGGTTGTCCACCAGAAAAGTGTCTAGTCGGAGCCGCCATTGGCAATCCTTGCATAGCATTTGAAGCCCACCTTTGATTACCGCTACTAAAAGCGTGAGGTGTAGCTGCTGTTGATCTTTGCATCATGATTCGATTTACATGCCCTGCTGAAGCCACTACATTGTTATGGTGAGAATTTGAAGGGTACGAAGAAATATGCTGTGGCGCTGGCACTCTATGACTAGGCGCAGTGGCCGGCAAAGGATTGGTTTGCGGAAAACTAACACCTTGAACAACCACTGATTGCAAGTGAGAGCTCATATATGTGGGGACAAAGGGTGCTGCGACGGGTCCGAAGAAAGTCCAGTTATCAGAAATTGCCGGCGCTCTTCTGGTCGGGTTCATTTTGCGGTGTTGCCGCATGAACATAAAAACTCGAAGGTGAATTAGATGAACGCCAACAAGAACGATATTAAATACGATCGTAAATCCAATGCCGTCAGTTATTTGATAGTAGTGGCAACAACCTAACTGGGCTGGGGGTTTGGGATCTTCTGGACGCATCTGGTGATGAATCGGTAGCACATTCGAATCAATCTGGTACGGTGCAGACGCAATTGCGAATGAGTCCAATTTCTGATTGTCATATCGATTGACTTCCGTTTCGTCGTGGGAAATACTTCTTTCCAAATAAGGTATTTGAACGAAAATAGTTTTGGCGGCTGCATTATCCTCGAGTGGCATTCCAGCTCGAAATATTGGAGGAATGGCCATTATTACGGCCAAGGTCCAGGTCATTGCGGTGACTGTGAGGCATACGAATTTGGTCAATTTTTTCGTATAAAATTCTTTATGAACGATTATGGAATATCGAGACAAGGATATAGTGAGCAGTGTTAGAATCGTTTCGTAAGCGAGCAGGGTGTAAAAGAATGAGACACTTTTGCAGAGGTGAAAATGATCTGCGAATTTGTCAGAATTATTTGATACAATCAGATAAAAGGGTAAACAAAGTGCTACCCTGATCAACTCGACAAAACTAAGATTTAAAAGGAAAAAATACGACGGTTTGTGAAGTCTTGATTCGCGACAAATAGCTATAAACAGGAGGAGATTAAGAAAAACTCCAAGAAGGATATAAGCTGAAAAGAAAACGGTTTTTCCCGTTTGAAGAGCCATGGGGAACGAAATAAAAGGGTCATCTTCAGCTAAAGTGCTGTTGGCTGCTGCTGATCCCACCATTACTGCAGTTGAGATGCTTACTAAATCTGGGCGAAATATTATCTAAGTTCCAACATCCAAATACTGAAAAACATTATCAGAATAACTAAAAACAAATCAGCATCATTGCGCTGATAATCCAAAACTTGAAATTTGTCACACAAATGATCAAAAATCTAAGAGTTTTTCCCAAGCTCCCAGAAAATAAACAGACAGTTGGGATAAATTAAAACATGACCAACTTATTAAATCGAAGAAAAGCTGCAACGAACTGAAGGGAAGCCGAATGGAAAAACCTAAAAACAACGGACGAACCGATCCTGGTCATAGAAAAATCGAGTAGTCAAATTACGTTCCTGAAAGAGCATGCGGCGAGTACATCGTTCGACGGAGTAAACAATGACATGTGGAACTTCGACGAAGGACGGCGAGCGAGAAATCTAGCGTGCAGTAACGGCAATTTCATCGAACTGCTAAGTCCACCACATGGCTACAACAGACGAAGGTTGCAGCAATCCAGGAAACTTTCCTTGTGAATGAACCCAAGCACCTAAAGGATACGAAATCGTCGCACAAAATTGACCCACCAGTCGCGGCAAAGGAGGCGGACTAGCATTCATTATTAAGGACGACATAAAGGAACAATATTTCCCTAACCCTCTCTCCCTCGATCTCTCAAACATAAACGATCTCTTAATCAGAAGCTCAAGGCAGAGATCGATGTAGCTACACCTGCTGAGTCGTTTGATGATTCCAATCGTAACAACCTGCTAGACGGGAAACTTAGGCCCATAGACTATTGTACATGCGCATAGAGCTAATGTGGGGGCAAATTCCATTAGCAAAATCTGGGTCTTTCAATTTAAATTGACCCTGCTGAGTACCAGAAATTATAACCCTCCTGTCAAAATAGCATAGCCCCCCTGGAACGTTAACTGAATTGACTTCAACAAGAAGAATTTCATTATCCAGAATTATGAAAACAAACTACAATCATCTATTGATTTTCATCTAGTTACAAAAATTGATATCGAAACATTCATTTCAATACATTAAATTGGAAAGGATAGACAAAAGTGCATTGCGCTACAATTTAAGATCTAGCCTCTTTTCAAATAACTGAGAGTTAACATTAGAAAAAAAAATATGATAATCAAAAAATATGATAATAATTTTGGAATAAAATAAAAAAAGAAATCAAAAGCATTTAGTTTTAGAAAAAATTCGTTTTTTCTTTCTTCTTTTGTTTCTTACGCAAAATAAGCTACCACAAATAATCATCGGAGGAGTTGAGTGATATATCATATTAAAGTAGTGGTAGTCGTAGTAAAAAAAAAGTCAATTAAAATGGGCCCTTCCGTCATGCGACGGTACGTGCACAAGTTGGATAGGGCCGTACCAACGCTATATAAATGCATCGGCAAAATTTTATGAATAAATCAATTCGATATTAATGCAAATAATCCACAACAAAATAGTGGTAGTCGTAGTAGTAGTAGTTTAGACTTGTTGTTGTTGTTGTTGTTGTTGTTGTGGATTCTCAGAAATACTTCTGATGGGACTGCTCCCAGTTCATTTCTTCTTAAAACGTCTTCCATACATCCCTGCAGTTTCGACAATCACAAAACAGTATCCATGTGCAAGGATTCGCCTCATTGAATTTCGCCATTTGATAGGTCCACATAAAATTCAAGAGTCTGTTTTTTAGCCCCGTGGGATTGAAGAAATCTACTGTTCCAGGTAGATGATTGGCCACCCGAGACAGCCTGAAACAAAACTCAGCGCGAGCTTTTTCTGTGCGGACTTTTTTAAGGCTTAATGTCGGGCCATCATTTTGTCTTGTATTTGAGGCAGACTTGTTGGTTAATAGTCGTATTTGTAAATCGTTTTCACTGTGAAAAAAGCTCGATAGGTTCAATAGATTGCATAGCTGTATGAACATAGTAAGGGGCAATGTATTCGTTCGTTTTAACAACGTTAGATAATCACTCTCATAACTGTTTGTTACCCATTTTAGCGCTCTTTTCTGGAATCGTTCAAGTTTTGATAAATTTGCGCGGCATATATTAAAACACGAAGATGCAAATGTTAAAAGTGGTAAAACCGCTGACTTGTAAACACCCAATTTTACTTTCTGTGAAACCCCTTTTGCCACATTTCTTTTAGCAAAATAGAAAATCTGATTTGCTTTTTTCATTCTCGCCATTAGATGATTTGACCAGCTTAGGGTTTTATCAATATGTACCCCCAAATCTTTTATTGTTTCTACTGATTCAAGCATATGCCCATTGATTTGAATTGAATTTGAGTTTCCTCGAAAAATCAGCTCTTTGCATTTGTCAGGAGCCAACTCCATTTTGTTTCCGTTCACCCAATTTTCTAAAGCCGATATATCTGATTGTATTTCAAATTTGGATAGGCCCGCCGAGAAAAGTTTTAAATCGTCTGCATAAATGAAGGGAGTAGTGAATTTTAGCACTTCTGGCAGGTCATTTATAAAAATGCAAAACAGTAACGGCCCCAGCAGAGACCCTTGAGGAACTCCACTTGTAACTAATTTAGAAGAGGATGATACATTGTCACATTTTACCCACTGCGTTCTGTTTTCAAGATAGCTCGCTAAGACTTCCAAAAAACATCCCCCTACTCCAATATTCGCCACTTTTTTCAACAATTCAAAATGGGGCACTTTATCGAATGCCTTTGAAAAATCGGTGTAATAAACGAGCACTTCATCGTTCGGATTTTTATCCAGCGCCTCGTAAACTCGTTGTAAAAATGCTAACAGATTAGTTACAACCGACTTCTTTTTAACAAAACCATGTTGACTTGATTTCATGTATTTTTGAAAGTGATCGTAAAGTGGTTCGTACATGCATTTTTCGAGCACTTTAGAGATAATTGTTAATAACGAGACAGGTCTGTAGTTTTTTATTTGCCTTTTGTCGTCTTTTTTGTGTATGGGCGAAATAGCAGCACTTTTCCAGAATTTAGGTACACATCGTAACCTCTTGATATTTTTGAAAATAGCATTTAAAATGGAGCTCATCGGTTTAGCTAAACTTTTCAAAAAACAAGGCGGCAGGCCATCCGGGCCTTTACTTTTTGTTACATCCAGTTTAGTCAACAATTCTCGGATTTTGTTTTGAGATATGTCAAAATTTATGAGGGAAGCATTTTCGCAAGCAATGTCTGTTACTTTAAAATTCAATTTCGGCGTAAATACAGAGTGGAAAAAATTATTTAATTTTTCGACTTTTTCAGCTGACTCCTTATATTTAATACCATTTAATTCCATTTCACGCGGTAGGCTCGACTTCTGCTTTTTCAAGTTTTTGAAATGTTTGAAAATCATGTTAGTATTTCGAGAACTTAAGATACTTTCTTGGTACTCTACTCGTTCTAGTTCCATATTTTGCATTAAACTGTTTTCAAAATTCGTTATCGTTTCCTGCAAATGGGGAGTAGGCCTTGAGTCGAATTGTTTTCGCTTTGTTTCTAGAATTTTAATCAAATTTGAAGTCTTTGGACTCACCCAAGGTGGTAATTTTTGTCTATGCATGGTTCGTTTTGGAACAAAATTTGAAATAAGATTGTTGATATATTCGTACATTTCGTCAGACATTCTATCGATATTTGTAAAACAAATAGGTGAAAAGGGATATTTCTGCATATAATCAATCATGCTATCATAGTCCGCCGAGCAAAAACTATAAAAACTTTCTTTGACTGGTTTTTCGTCTTGAACATCTATTTCAATTTTCAGCGATATAGGTCTGTGATCTGTTATATCATAGCTTTTTTCAAAATTCGTGCAAATTTCAGCGAAACCCTCCAACCCCCTCATTAGAGCGACATCTAATATATTTGAACCACAAGTTGGAAATTCAATTATTTGATTCATTTCTGCTTCGTCTACTAATTCCAAAATTTCATTTTCATATATACTCGTGCTTTGGTTAATTCTCCAATCCGTTTGAGGGAAATTTATGTCGCCACATAAAAGAACATGATGATTTTTAATGGAGACAATCGAATCAAAAATCTTTTTGAAATCTTCAAAATTATATCTGTATTTGCTATCTTCTGGGGGATTGTATACGCAAAAAATCACAAAATTGAAATTGTTCACTTCTATTTGAACCGCTAATGCACATTCTGGTAGATCTAGATTTAGTTTATATGAATTAAAACAATCTCTTACTGCGATAAGAACACCACCGTGATTCGAAGTGTTACCTGTTAATTTGCGGTCCGCTCTATAAACAGAATATTCAAGTAGCATGAGTTCAGTGTCTTCAATTTGATCATTTAGCCAGGTTTCAGTCACTAAAAGTACAGATGCTGCACAATGAGATACAGCTGAAACAAATTTACTTCTTCTTTCAAATTTCAATAAACTCCTGGCATTCAACAGTACACAGTTTAGGTACATTAGTCATTCAGTGGCTTTTTTAGCATCAATGTTTACCAAAACATCGTCTTTAAATAATTGGAAGTTACGAATTTTCAAGCTGCTGGGTGGTACGTTTGCATTTATCAATTCACGTCTTTTTTGAAGGCATAAATTTTCTTTCTTTGAATCCTCATAGCTTAGGGCAGGCAATATAAAAAACCCCATATTTTTCAGGTCATCCCACATTTCAGCACTTTTGGCTAATATCAATTTTGCATGCCATTCACTAGATAGTGTAACCATAGTAACTCTTGGTTTAGAACGACTTTCTGAAAATTTTCCAAGTCGATGTACATTTTCCACGTTTGCATTCACTCGCAGTTTTTCAAATATTTCTTTTATTGTTTCGTTTGCGTGAAAAACATTTTCATTTTTTGAAAACTCTTTGTTTTCAGGAATTCCCTGAATTCTTAGACATTTCGACACATTGTGAAAGTTATTTGACTTCTTATCATCTGCTTTTTCATTCTGTTTCATGCTATTTTTCTTGATTAAGGCTTCTGCCTTCTCGGTGCTTTTTTCGGTAAGCGCATTCATTTTTGAATTGAAAATTTGTTCTATCGTGTTTTCGATTACAGGCTTTAGGTTGTGATAAACCTAATAGCCTAATTGCCTAATTGTTGT